TACTGGCCTGTACCGACCTGATGCTCCGGTCTGATCCTCGGGCTCGCATCCATCCAGATCAGGCTGTACGTGGACCGGGTACGGTCTCATACTGGCCTGAACCGACCTGACGCTCCAGTTTGATCCTCGGGCTCGCATCCATCCAGATCAGGCTGTACGTGGACCGGGTACGGTCTCATACTGGCCTGTACCGACCTGACGCTCCAGTTGATCCTCGGGCTCGCATCCATCCAGATCAGGCTGTACGTGGACCGGGTACGGTCTCATACTGGCCTGAACCGACCTGACGCTCCAGTTTGATCCTCGGGCTCGCATCCATCCAGATCAGGCTGTACGTGGACCGGGTACGGTCTCATACTGGCCTGTACCGACCTGACGCTCCAGTTTTGATCCTCGGGCTCGCATCCATCCAGATCAGGCTGTACGTGGACCGGGTACGGTCTCATACTGGCCTGTACCGACCTGACGCTCCAGTTTGATCCTCGGGCTCGCATCCATCCAGATCAGGCTGTACGTGGACCGGGTACGGTCTCATACTGGCCCTGTACCGACCTGACGCTCCAGTTTGATCCTCGGGCTCGCATCCATCCAGATCAGGCTGTACGTGGACCGGGTACGGTCTCATACTGGCCTGTACCGACCTGACGCTCCAGTTTGATCCTCGGGCTCGCATCCATCCAGATCAGGCTGTACGTGGACCGGGTACGGTCTCATACTGGCCTGTACCGACCTGACGCTCCAGTTTGATCCTCGGGCTCGCATCCATCCAGATCAGGCTGTACGTGGACCGGGTACGGTCTCATACTGGCCTGAACCGACCTGACGCTCCAGTTTGATCCTCGGGCTCGCATCCATCCAGATCAGGCTGTACGTGGACCGGGTACGGTCTCATACTGGCCTGAACCGACCTGACGCTCCGGTCTGACCCTCGGGCTCGCAGCCGTCCAGATCAGGCTGTACCTGGACCGGGTACGGTCTCATACTGGCCTGAACCGACCTGACGCTCCAGTTTGATCCTCGGGCTCGCATCCATCCAGATCAGGCTGTACGTGGACCGGGTACGGTCTCATACTGGCCTGAACCGACCTGACGCTCCAGTTTGATCCTCGGGCTCGCAGCCGTCCAGATCAGGCTGTACGTGGACCGGGTACGGTCTCATACTGGCCTGAACCGACCTGACGCTCCGGTCTGATCCTCGGGCTCGCATCCATCCAGATCAGGCTGTACGTGGACCGGGTACGGTCTCATACTGGCCTGAACCGACCTGACGCTCCGGTCTGACCCTCGGGCTCGCAGCCGTCCAGATCAGGCTGTACGTGGACCGGGTACGGTCTCATACTGGCCTGAACCGACCTGACGCTCCGGTCTGATCCTCGGGCTCGCATCCATCCAGATCAGGCTGTACGTGGACCGGGTACGGTCTCATACTGGCCTGAACCGACCTGACGCTCCAGTTTGATCCTCGGGCTCGCAGCCGTCCAGATCAGGTGATGAAAAAGCATGTGATAATGCGTGAAATATGAGATGAAATGTGATGACATTGGCGTGTAAAACTAGCCACTAGCAGAGGCGTTATCTCTCAATGGCTCGTATCGGACATACCTACCACGTGGAACAGATTGGCGAGTCACGATTTACGTACGCAAGAGCGAGGGCCCTATGTGAGGACGCTCTGATGAAGATATGAGAGACGGCTGCCTACTGAAACTTGGCAAGACTTGGGTCTTTCGTAACTGAGGTGAAACTAAAACTATTGGCGAATCGAAACTGAACAGCTGAACTCCGCCTAGAACACCATGCGCCCGGGCTCCTGCTTCCTCGCTGGGACGCGCTTTAAAAATAGTTTCGCGCACAGCTAGGTCGGCAACAGGTGAAATCCGTCGTCGTTACATGCTTGCTCCCATGACCTGCATGTTTGATATTATCAACATCCCCTAACGCACTACAGGCGCACAGGGGCGGCAATTCTCTTCAACTTCAGGAGGGGAAAGACATAATTTTGAGTGAGCGTGCGGTTGCGTATATGGTTATCACAGTGTTGTTCAAAAAGGTCTATAAAATCACCCTAAATTGATGTACACTGTCGGCAAATCTTCTGAACCGAATCATGAAAAGGCGTCGTCGTGTGTCATTATGCGAATACGAATGTGATTCAGCCAGCGTTGTGAACAAGTGCCTCTCAAATAATTATAACCTGATGGCGGCAACGGTCCGAAAAGTTTTTGGCTGCTTGGTTCATTTTATCTTATATAAAAGGCACTGGCCGAGGACCGAAAGTTTGTTTACTGTTTCGCTTATTTCATTTAATGTTGAAAATTACAGCTATTCACATATCATGGATAGTTCGTTATGACCATCACTCAAACGAGGAAAGGCGCGTTCAAGTTTAGGATATTACAACCTTGCCATCGCTGGAATGTGACGAGCTAATTGTGTATATAATGTGTATCATATGTGTATATCATACCTACTCTAGCTCTATATTTTCACGTAAACAGCAGGCCCTGCTAGGGAATAAAAAATGAGGTAAATATACCTTAACAATTGTCAGTTACAAAACAACCATCACTACTGCGTGCGTACGACCAGTTCCTGGTTTGGGACATGAAAAGGCATCAAACGCGACGTAATTTGCTGAAATAAATGTACACAACTTGTTTTCCTTTACTAATATACACAGGGGTGTTGACTTGTGCAAATGATCGGGTGAGGTGTGACCCAATGTCAAACGAACTCACTTCCAATAAATGTGTGTTTCTCAACCAATTTGGTACACTTGATTGCAACAGACGGTACTTAACATTGTTTTGTGGCCACAGTATCATAACTGAATAGTCCTGACATCAGCAGCATATTAGTCATGGCATGCTGACGTGTGAAAGAACGCTCTTGAAGGATAGGACGACATCGGTCATGCGGAATAATTGAAAACTCCTTTTGGACCACCCTCAGGGTCCGGGCGAGTATCAACTACAGCCATACCTTACCAGGCCAACAACAAGAACTAGATCTAATCAGGCCACGCAGATGGCTTTCACGGCCCCCCGTATCGCCCATACGTTAATGCGGTGTCACCCACAGCGGCGCTGCATTACGTCTGTCCATTAGCCAGCTTCCTGAATGGTCACACAGCAAGCTGTGCACGGACAGCTCCAGCTCCAGCTCCAGCTCCGGCTCCGGCTCCGGCTCCGGCTCCGGCTCCGGCTCCGGCTCCGGCTCTGGCTCTGGCTCTGGCTCTGGCTCTAGCTCCGGCTCGGGCTCTGGCTCTGGCTTCGGGTCCAGCTCCGGTTTCAGCACTGCTTCGGGCTCAAGCTCAGGCTCAGGCTCAGGCTCCGGTTCCGGCTCCAGGTCCGGGTCCGGGTCCGGGTCCGGGTCCGGGTCCGGGTCCGGGTCCGGGTCCGGGTCCGGGTCCGGGTCCGGGTCCGGGTCCGGGTCCGGGCTCCGGGTCCGGCTCCGGCTCCGGCTCCGGCTCCGGCCCCGGCTCCAGCTCCGGCTCCGGTTTCAGCACTGGTTCAGGCTCAGGCTCAGGCTCAGGCTCAGGCTCAGGCTCAGGCTCAGGCTCAGGCTCAGGCTCAGGCTCCGCTTGCTCTCGCTCTCATTTTACCTTTGATTCAGACAACCCGTAGCGTAACGCGACAACCCGACAATCCGCAGTTGTGCAGACGCCAGCTTTGCAGACGAGCACTTCGCAAGCATAGAATGATAGCATAACCTTTAAGATGATATAAAACTCGAGAGTACAGCAGTTCCAGCTCCCCCCATATTCTTATCGATCTGCTTTAGCACACGCTCGGGAGGGCGACTGTATTCCCAAGGCTGGTTTTCCAGCAAAAAAAAAACAAAAAAATCGACTGGCGTCGCGTAGCAGCGTCAAACTTTGAACACCTATACTATAAGATAGCTTGGTCGACAATTAGCCAATTCAATTCAAAGTTATGTCTTACTTCGTTGACCTTGGGCCAGGCATGAACGTCTGACCGAGAGCAAGGCAAAACCACTTTTTCACAAATAATTTGCTTTGCATGGTAGTTTTATGTTTATTTCGAATTTCTTCATCACAGGGATGCCATTATCACAGGGACACTTATTTGGACTTCTTGAACATCAGAGATCACTGACCAAAAATGACCCAGATCAACCTTTTGTTTTCCTTTTCCTTTCTTTTTTTTTGGGGGGGGGACATACCACTCAGCGTGATCCTTCATGTTCATCTCGATTCAAAAATCAAGACACTCTGGTAGGTTTTTGGTTAACGTGACCATCTGAAAGTGAAAAAGGTCGCTGACATGAAATAAACATCCGTGACCTTTTGGTCAGAGCAGGTCATTTTGGTTAGCGCATGAGGTCTGGTGGCACTTTGGACACCGCCCAGAGTATGACCTTATTTGAGCCGACGGTCACGACCTCGGACTCTCAAAACGTTGCAAGTGAATTCAAATACGGCCCTACCTACCCTGTGGAGTGAGTGTATGTAGCTCTATTAATTTTAGCGATGCGGGGAGGGTCAAATTGTCCCTATCCCCGCCCATCCCCACTCACCTGAGCGCGTCTCATTTGACCGGCCGCCCATGCGCGTGGTAAGTGGCTATCACAGCCAGGCGCCCGTTTCCAGATATGGCCTGCGCGACTGGCGGTGTCGAAACCAGTTAGAGCGTGCGCCCCCCCCCCCCCCCCTCCCCCACGAACGCTCTTGCCCAGAACGAACGCTCCCCGGGGGTGAAGTGCGCAGGATGGCCACGCTGCCTCTGACCGATGAGTCGCTGGCGGCGATGATGCACACCCCCCAGTCACGGTGAGTTTGTGCGAATGGTGCTTAACGGTGGACTGTGCTCAACTAACCGGAAAGATGCTCACAGCTGGGTCACAGCGAGATCATGGGAGAAGTGCTCACAAGTGAGTCACGGTGAGCAGCTGAGGCCAGCGCTCACCGGTGAGTCACGTGAGCCGCCGCGAGCGATATCAACGCCGATCCTAAGTGCAACACTACGAGTGGCACTCACCAGCAAGTCGCGGTGAGCTGGCGGCGCGGTCGTCGGCCAGCAGCATGTCGGGCGCCAGCTGTTCGGTGAGAGCCGGCACGCTAGCGTACACCGAGCTGAGAGCGCTCCTGAAACACCAACACGGAACGTCAACAGACGGTCTGACGCAGACGGTCTGACACAGATGGTCCGACACAGACGGTCGGACACAGACGGTCTGACACAGACGGTCTGACACAGACGGTCTGATACAGACGCTCTGACACAGACGGTCCGACACAGACGGTCTGAAACAGACCGTCTGGCGACGGCTCTTCTCTGGACCGTCGGGGGAGACGGATCGGCTTCACCTAACCCTGCAGGCTCCTGGAGCACTAGCCCAGGCGGCATTTTGCCAGCCTGGCCTGGCCTGGCCTGGCCTGGCCTACAGTCTGAAGCACGAACCCGAGCAGTCACCGAAGCACAGGGCCTACATTCACAAGCATGTTTTGTTATGTACGCATAAAGTGCCGTAAAAATTGGTTATTTGTTCGGCACCGTTCTTCGTGAAAAAATACAATGTTTTAGTTCAAGCATTTCAGCAGGAGCGCGACAAACTTCTTCCGAAACACTGACCAGCGTAAAATGGCGCTCGACACAGCAAAAGCCCAACACTGCCAATGCAGCCTTGGCTTCCAAATAATCGGCTTTAGTTTTCGGGCGCGGCTGCCAGCGGAGGCGGAGCTGCACGTCACAGCTGACTGGGCAAGTTTCTGACAGCCGTGCGCCAGCATCGCTCCCGAGCTTAGAGAGCTGACAGCGACAGCGACACCGAGCTGCCAGTTGTCATCGGTCCTCATCTATGCACAGACCTCCGTGAAAGCCTTTGAACGTCACGATGCAATCGTTCCTCGACTTACGTACTGTCGGTGTCACCCTTAATCGGCGCTCTTTGCGAGCCATTGGTGTCATGTCCACTGTGACCCATCCCGTGCGTGGGGGTGAGGCGTTCATACCGTCCGCAGGTCAAAATGCCGACAGTTCATAACGTTCACAGTTCATGACATCCACAGTTCACAACGTCCGCAGTTCATGTCTACAAAAGTTTCACGTGTCGGCAATGGTACGGTGCCTCGCTCTTACGTTTGAGAGGGCGGCAGCTGGGACAGTGATGCCATTTCCAGCCGTGTGGGGTGCGGTCGAACACAAATATTGTAACTCTCTCACAATCAGCCGAGTCGGCCGATCAGCCCATTGGTCGCGCCGTTCTGCTCATCGTCTTGCGCGTGGGACCAGTCAGGTGTTGCACGAGACTGTACTGTCTGCGTCTTGCGCGTGGGACCAGGCAGGTGTTGCAAGAGACTGTACTGTCTGGTTGGTCGCTGGGAAGGTTCTCAAATGTGGGTGTCGTTCCGTAGCGGACTGCGGACAGATCGCGGTTCGGTGCGTGGAGGTGGTTGGAGGGGAGAGGGCAAAACCATTGCGGAGTCAAGCAAGGGGCGTGAAGGGACAGGGAGCACAAATTACTACCTCCCACAGTCAGTTATCATTAGTTCCCGACCACTTGGCATTAAGTCTGATAAATAACGCGAATGCACGCCCACTGAGTCGCAAAATGCACTTGGATATTGTCGAGGGCTTATCTTACGGCCCGTTCCAACCATTTAATACGGCTTGATCAGTGCCAGGCCATCCGTATTTTGGTGGAAAATACAACACGTGCAACGCGAGGCTATTGCGTGGGGCCGAAAACTAGTTTATCGGCCACCATTTCGTTTCAAAAAAGGTACATGCCGACATACGCTCGGACAAACTGCGGCTGTTCCCTGCCTAAAGACGTGCGTCTACGCTAGCTTATGCATCTGCTGTCGTTGCCAGGCTGTAGACCTGCGGTTGGTGTGTCTGAGGACCTGCACCCCGGCGCAGATCTGTAGACAGAGTAAGTGTGACAGATGATAGCAAGAGGCCTTCATTTATACGTGAAGACCTACGATTGGGGTCTATAGAACTTGTCCATTTTTTGGTGCGTTGGCCTTAGAAGCCCAATCGGCAGTTTGTATTGCAAGTTAGCTCAACCTGCCTTGGATATCATATGCATTCTGTCCAGTTGCGCCTGGGCTGTGGGAATACCTGGTTTGGTAACGTGGAGGCTGCGCCGATTTCTGAGAGACAAATCGGCGCAAATAATCATAGTAGTGTGGCACGTTAAAAGGGCTATTACTTGATCTCTCTACGTGACCTCACGTGACCTCGCTTAGTATGGCAGAACCTGGCCGGGACTTCAGTGTGCAAACGAACTCGGACCAAGAATGAAAAGCCAGATTTGTTGCATACAGAATCCCTGCGCAGCCGTAAACCTCCGTCGTTTTCTTTTCGTGACCTCATCTGCCGTTGAAAAAAGCATTTCACGATGCGCGAAACCTCAAAATAGGCTCTGAAAGCTCGATGAACCGAATTGGGGCCACTCTTTCTGTTTAACAAACTTCGACCTCAACCACTGCTCTTCCCAACCCTCGCCGTATCAGGCAGGCGTGGGTTCATCAGTCATTTTTAACGTCCAGCCAGAGCAAACGTAAAACGTGACTGATCAAGGTGGACACTGCGGGGGCTACCATGAACGGCGCCAGTCGACATTTGATTTCCTTGAAGTGAATAACTACGCTGCAGAGTCGTTAGGAACTGATTTAGGTGCTCAGTGTGGTCATGGGATCGTAGCTGTGGAGCCACGTATTGGGAAAAAATCACAGTGGGATGGCCGTTACCATGCGGTGGACTGACCTGCGCTTCACATGCGTGAATGCATCAGCATTGAACACGCCCGCGACATTGATCGGGCATCTCAGTTTATACGTGTCGGATTTATAGGTCCCAGCAAGTTCGTGTTACGTTGTTGAAAGGGTATTTTTATCACAAATTCATCTACTGTAAAGAACCGAACTAGCCAAATGTCATACACAGAAAAGGCAGCCGCTGCATCATAACACGTGAATAATTTAGCGTAGAATTATAGAATTGGCCAAACGCTTCAATAGCATTGACAAGGAATTTCGCGGGGATATTCACATTTTAGCTGCTGTATATGAAAGACATAATGGTTTGCATACATACATCGAGCTGCTTATAAAAATAGAGCAAAAGAGGTGGCTTTAGTTACGGATAAACAACTACTGATACAAGCTGCTGAAAAACTGTGGCAAGACGTCCACAGTGTTGAATACGACTGTGACATTCTATCAGGCATCTCAGTGCAAACGCTTTGGACTTACGCCCCCCGCAGTCTGGAGTTGCGATGTTGTCAGGCTATTATTAGTCTACTGTGCCGAACGGAAACCCAGCAAATGTAACAAACATATGTACGGTAGCCGCTGCATTTTAACACGCAACTTCGTAATAACAGAAGTGAGCGAACATTTAAAATTCGTTGACGGGTAATTCCAAGGGCATAGTCATATAACATCTGTTGTATATGAAAATCCAGGTCTTGAATTACTTATCAAAGTACAGGAAAATGGCTCCGTTTCATCACGGCAAAACTGCTACCCAAACGCTTCAAGACCACGCCAAAATAAAACTCAATCTTTCGCGACATCGTCGGGGTCTCGTAGGCTGCACGGTGGCGCAAGCCGACATGGTTGGTGTCGGTCATAAGTGGGCACTCAACACATGTCACAGCCATCAAATTAACAAATGTTCAAAAAGTGCATGTGCTTTTATGATCACGTGAGGCACAAACACTGCACTTCAGACAAAACGGGCTGGAATACGTTGTTTTGTTGACGCGCCAGATTCCCAACATTGTGAATTTACGCGCGTGCTCGCAAAAGGCGTGACTCCGCGGGCAAATATGTGATGTCATACTATGCATATACATATGTATACATACATATGCATACATATGCATACATATGCATATCATATATATATATATATATATATATATATATATATATATATATATATATTGTTGGTTAAGGACTAATGCAGAGCTATGTTCGGACTATAATCAAGTACGGAATGCGCTTGAATTCAAAGCGTGTTAAGAATATGATGCACATGTATCAGTCTGGCAATTTTTAAACATCCGATAAAAACTGAATATGCGATGTCGGCGGTGCCTAGAATCACCTTGGGCAGATGGGCATAAATATTCGTAGAAACATATGTGGCTGCTGTTGTATGCAGCTTGGGCGCCAGGTTAGTCCTCTTGATATCAGTCTTGAACTTATGTGTGTGAATCAAGTCGGCCAGGCCCGTACACGCGAGCAGGCGAAACACAGTGAGTGACGGAAGTGTCAATGCTCGCTAGCACATGGACTTGCGGCAACAGACTGAGGTTCTTCTGACGTCACGGGAAGAACCAAGACCGATGCGCAGGGCTCGGGCGCGACCAATTAGTAAGTTAGTTATTGAGTTTTAAGGGTGCGTCAACCGCATTGGCTATTTGCGTCCTAGGAGTGGCCGGCAGGCTAGCATATCGGGTTCCAACAGCAATTAAGAGGCCTCCGAGCAAATGCGATGACAAATCAAAGGCTCCATGGAAAGGTTCCCTCAGCGATCGGAAAGCGCCGGCATGTGGACATATCGCAAACTGGTCAACAGCGTAGGGCCCCGGGCAGCAAAATGAGCCCTAAGAACTTCCCCAATCACTATTCTCCGGATGTTTTCTGTTTAAGGGGCTGTTATTTTCACATGCAGCTCTTCCTAGTGGCTTGCAAGCAGAAGGATATCCAATTTTTGATTTTAGGTGTGTAAAGAATTCGTGGTCGTTCAATCCTGGGAGTGTGTGGGCCCTTTCGGAGCCGAGAAAGGGAGGGTCATAAGCCCCTGCCCTCTTCTGGATCCGTCACAGTACGCGGTCAACATAGAAGTCGTGTTGAGCCTATCCCAGCCCACCCCTACTAGAATGGTCTGTTTTTTGTAAGGTATCTGCCACCGAAGGCATTTCATGATAGGTAGGGAAGGTACGAGCGAACGAGGTGCGTCGTGTCCGCCGGACATAGGCACTTCGTAAGAGCCACCCAACATAGTCATACATTTTAACCCCATTTCTGCTGAGTAAGTTGTTCAGTGCATTTGCGATGAACGTTATTCACATAGATAAGACAGTAGTAATAGCTTTACTCCTCGAAAAACATGAGGAGATATAGAT